TAGAAATAGTCCAGCTCAGTGGTGGTAGTGTTATGGTATGGGCCTGCTTTTAAGTTTGGGGTGTAGATGACTTTCTATTCTATTGGAAATTAAGTCAAGCAGAAAAACCAAAAGTATCTGAATATGCAAGTTTACAAGATGAAGCAAATTGGGGTAAAAGAGCAGGACAGTCATTCGCACCAAACAGCAAGTCCCGAATGACTGGAACCACAAACTCAAACTGTAGGTTTTCAAGTGGCCTAGTCAAAGTTCAGACTTTAAATCCTTTTTTAAGTTTTAGGGGTGTGACCTTCAACAGACTTTTCACGTACAAAAACCTTCTAATGTCGATACTTAAACCAGTTCTGCAGAGAAGAGGGGCTCAAAATTAAGGCTGCAGCTAATGATTGTTTTACTAGTTTATTATTTTTTTCGATTAATAGTTAGATAGCAGAAGGTGCCTTAAAGAAGCTTTTATGCAGAATTTAAATCAAGTGAGTGATGAGTTCTGGATTAACACAACCATCATATCTTTAATACAAAGTGTTTGTATCATTCTTTTTTTGTTTTGGCATCATCACTGCTCTGATTTGGTTGCTCTTAAAGCTATTAGCATTAGTTAGCTTTTATACTTGAATTAATGATTAATCGATTACTCAATTAGTTAACTATTATTTTGATAATCGATTAATCACAATAATTAATCCATGTTATTGTTTCAGTGTTTGTTAAAATATGAAAGACGCATTCCGATTTATCCATTTCAGTTTTTTTTTTATATAAAAGACATTTGGGTTTTTACTCAGTTTATCTTTGTTTATTATCGTTTCATCTGAAACCTTTAAGTGTGACCAAAAAAAAAACCCCAACAGAAGGAATCTGCGGGGAAGCAAATGCTCTTGCTTTTGATTTAAAACAAGCGAGAAAGACTATTTTAGTCCTCACTTTGGCTGTTCCCAAAATATGTATGCACTGCCTGTGGTTCATGGTAGTTATGGAAACAGGAGACACAGATTCACTTTGATAGATGTTTTTTTTTTTTTATTATTCTTACTTGGCAGAAATATTCAGTCTGTGGAGCTGATTATCAAATAATAAGGTCTTGTTTATGTTTTGAAGAGGATCATAGTGCAGTTTGATGTTTTTAATCCAAGGACAGCATAGTGTTTGTGTTTCTATCAGAGTTCAAAAGCTCAACGTAGGGCGTGTTTCTGCGTCTGTTTGCATTTCTAAGTAGGTCATGGCAGGTTATGACCTCCCTCTCAGTGAGTGTGCAGGGAGATCTGGTGAATACTGTACAAAAGACCAACATAGACACACAAACTCACACTTTATTGATCTTAGCTGTGGGAAAAAGGCAGTGGGATGATAATGGAAGAGATCATGCTGCACTTCTAAAAAAGGTTTCACTCTGTATTTGAAAGGTAATTGAGACAAGATAGATGGTCTTTAAAAAAAAAAAAATCTTGACTCTTCCAGGAGTAATGGTGAGAGCATAAAAAAGATGAATTGAGGGGGAAGGGAAGGGTGGGCTGATGTAATGTACTCTGCCAGGCATCCAGTGGATTTTCCAATCAGGTTGATTAAAGGAACGGCAGCCATGTCAGTGGAAGCCAAGGTCTCCGTTACGAGCAGTCAGGAATAATTTGCCCAGACAGTCGTGAAGCAGGCGGAGGAAAAGGCCAGACTGAGAGTCCTACTGAAGAGGATTAAAGAGAAGACGGCCAGAGGCGGCGAGAGCGTCTGCGACTCAGGCTGCGATTAACAATGGCTGCACAAGCAGCCTGCCTTCTAAACTACAAGCTATTTTTCATATAAGTGTTTGCAATTTATTTAATTCTATTTGAGCTGTAGGAAAAATGAGAGATAAAGGTTAAAAGTTGTTGAGATCTCTTTGGCTTTAATTCTTTATTTTGGTAAAATTCCA